ATTTAGAAAAATATATAAATTATTTTTACAATATTAGTTATAAATATATGATTACTAAATTAATATATATTTACGAAAAAATATACATCTTAAATATCAAATATAATATCATTTATACTTACAAAAATTTATAGGCATATATTTATTATATTAACTTTTAGGTTTTAATAATTACTTAATTTAAAATTTAATCTAACTGTGTAATTATACTTGTGCAACCAAACAGTAAACTTGTAATTACACTCTAATTACACAATGACAAACAAAGCAGGTCGTCGTAATTACGCAACTGTGTAATTACTAGGTTGTGTAATTACTACCCTAGTAATTACACCAATTCCAATTATAGAGTGTCTTTCCAAACAGACTCTAAATATACCGTGAATTACCTTATTTAGAGTAATGCCTCGTGTATCTTTCCCTCATCATCATCGCCTGTCACGGAGGTAGGAATAAGGAAAAAAGAAATCACCGGACATGTTAGGATTGTGTTTAACAAGACAACTGAGGGTGTGTTTGGTAGGAAGGAAAATATTTTTTAATTTTTTCATGTTTGGTTGGCTTAAATAATTGGAAAACATTTTCCCTATCAAGAGAAGGGAAAACATTTTCCAAAACTCTTTTTCAACCTTTCCCACCCTATTCCCCATCACCACACGCCACCTACCTACCCCACCCCTACTACCTTGCCCCAAACCGCCCCCTCCACCCCCTCCCTTCCACCCTCCCTCCCCCCCACCTAAATAAAATATTATGTTAATAGTACTTTCTTTTCATGATATAGATAGATTTTTTTTTAACAAATGAGTATTTTCTTTTCATGATATAAAAAAGTATTTTTTTTTATTTTAACAAAAAAAAAAGTACTTTCTTTTGATAGTAGAAAAAGTATTTTGTTTTCATTAAAACAAAATGAGTATTTTCTTTTCATGATTTAGAAAAAGTATTTTTATTTATTTCAATAAAATGATTACTTTATTTTCATATTGTAGAAAGAGTACTTTCTTTTTCAACCAAAAAAGAGTATTTTCTTTATAGTTATGGATCATAAATTTCAACGTTGTTTTGCATAAAAAAATAATTAGCACATTAGTTCCTTTGGGTTTGTGTGAATTTTTAGAAGAATAATTAAATTGTTGAAGAAAATAGAGTCCTAAAAACGTTGGGTATTGTGGTGGTGGTGGTGGTGGTGGTGGGGGGGGGGGGGGAGCAAGGAAAGATGGGGACTTGAGGGAAGGGGGTGAGGAGAGTAACAACAAAAACCCAATAGTTTCTCACAAGTGGGGTCCGGGGAGGGTAAGATGTACGCAGCCTTACCCCTATGTAGAGAGGCTGTTTCAGATAGACCCTCGGCTAGAGAACGACTGAAAAAGAAAAGGTAATTTCAACAAGTCGGAATAACAATAAGATGAAATAAGATCGAATCCAAGAATGCAATCAAACTTTAGGTAGTAATAGCCATCTATGGAGAAAAGATATCATACTAACACTAATGCTAGCGAACTGAGTAAGACAAAGAGAAACGCTCGACTACTTACGAACCTTCTACCCTAATCTTTGACCTCCACACCCTCCTGTCTAGGGCCATGTCCTCAGTCAGCTCCAGCTGCGCCATGTCACGCCTAACAACCTTTCCCCAAGACTTCTTAGACCTACCTCTACCCCTCCTACTACCCACTGAGGCTAACCGCTCGCACCTTCTAAAAAGAATATTTTCTACTCTCTAACCAAACACTAGAAATATTTTTCGAAAAATGTTTCCATCCACCAACCAAACAAGGGAAAATAAGTGATAAAATCACTCATTTTCTAGGAAAATTTTTTCCATGAAAAAGATTTTCCCTCCTACCAAACACATCCTGAGTTGGTCATATTCTTTTATTCTTTCCTGAAAGTCGATGATTAATCATAACTATTAACTTAACACTAAAAAGAATTCGATCCAATACTTTATTTTTGCTAGAAGTATATTATTTTTTCTTTTATTACTGTATTTGTTTTATGTCCATTTTGACAAAAAAAATGAAGTGTCGTTGCTTTACCTCCTATAGCAAAGGTTGATACCTTATTTATTTTAAATAAATACCCTTTTAAAAAATTATATTCCATAGCTACCTTTTAATATTTATAGCCAAATATCTATTTATGGTTACCTCCTACCCTTAAGCCATAAAATACTCTTTGTATTATTTTCCTCTCTCATTCTTTCAGATTTTTCTCCACCCTCTCTCTCTCTCTCTCTCTCTCTCTCTCTCTCTCTCTCTCAATGCCAGTCTTTCTCCATGCAACCACTATTCTCCACTGATTCATCTCTATTGTCTCACGAAATTTTCATTGTCAGTGGGCTGGGGCTCTGAATCATTGTCGAAATCAAGCCCTAGAGAGAAAGATCCACCCCATTCTAATGGCCGTTGCTTTGCAACGAAATCTGGACATGGCCACTGCAACTCTTGCCTCTCACCACCTCCATTGAAGTAGACGATCCGACGACGATGACCAAATCACAACTCCAAATGCAATTACACCAAAAATAGGTGGCTTGAGTGTGAATAGTTCTTTTGCCTTACCCGCATTTGAAACTATTCCTAAATCGAGCCAATTCATTGTGTTGCTGCTATATCTCCACATCTCCAATTTTTAGCAGAAAATTAAAAGTCATGATGTTATGGCATATTTTCTAAAAGCAACCCACTTCATTCACTCCAATAACAAGCTTGAAAATCACGCTTTTCCTCACTTCTATAATACTACCCAAAGACTCAAGATTTCAGCTTCGGTCAAACCTCTCATGGCCGCCCTCGGCACCACACCAACTGTTGGACTTTCTAAGACTTCTTCTTTATTGTATTTAAATATGTCCCGCTGTATTTCATGTATTTCATTATATTTACTGTCTCGCTATATTCAAATGTATCTGCAGTATGTATTCATATGTTTTGCACTATAGATGACCTGCTATACTTCATGTATCCAATGTATTTTTATGTATTTAACTATATTCAATGTAATTATATAATTTCTCTGAAGATTACTATATTTTTGGGGTGTTTTTCGATTGAGAATCTTTTTTATAACTGGAAATACAAATTATGTGTGTTATAATTGAGTTTGTTGAGTTATATTAGGAGTCTATTATGTTAATTGATTCACTTTCCGTTTAAAAACAGCTTAATAGACCATGAATTGCGCTATTTACGTTACTGTATTCACAAATACATCTCGTGAATACAGTTGAATACAATAATCTGTCTAGCTGTAACCCCCTGATTCACGCCACAAATACAGTTGAATACAGTCGAATACAATAATCTGTCTAGCTGTAATCCCCTGTTTCACGCCTAGAAATGCTACTGTATTCATGAATACAGTAGCTTAAATACATCGAATACACTCTTAAAAACCTGAAAACATAGCTATAGGAAGTAATATAATAAATGATAGTTACAACTAGTTAATAACCACTAAAACATAGTGGTTTTTGAAAATTTCTCTTTTCTTAATCCTCTTTGCCTTTGCCTGTGCACTTTTTTCAATCTTAAAGTACTTGTTTTTTTGGTTAAAATCTTAAAGTACTTAATATCCTTTTCATGAACACTTAAAAAATAATTTCTTAACGGCTTTGTTCATTCAACTAGAAAGCCCCTAATATTTATAAATACAACCTAATTGGATCCACTATTTGCAAGGTCACCTGTCCACTTCGACTAGTCCTTAGAAAAAACTTGAGACAAAATAGAATCACTTTTACTATAGCAACATAGAAGAAAAAGATCTCTCTTTCTTTTGTTGTTTAGAACATCATACTACTTAGTTATGATAGTCAAATCTCAATTTAATAAAGTATAGAAGATTGGAGAAATTATTATATCAGTTCAAGATGGTTTAAATAATTCCACCATATCTTCATCTAAATCTAAACTCCATCAGTACCAATTCATCAATCATTTAATATTAAGCAGCTTGTACATAGTTATTAGTTATATTCTTGTATTACCAAAACTGCCTTTAAGCGTATATACCTACCTGCTTTCCAGCTGTCTAGATCAATAATCTAATGAACTTAATAATTTCAAATAATCACCACAGGGTCCCAAATTATCTGTTCGCCACATCTCTTCAAAAGTTGAATTTTGCAAAGCTAGACTCCCCGAAAAGACACTTACTTTAGGGGTATTATCACTTTTAGCCCTGCCAGAAATTATTTATATTTAATAGCTGAAAAAGTATATAAACTTTATATATATATATATATATATATATATAAATTTTATATATTTTTTCGGCTATTATTTTTACAGCGAGTATATAGTTTTATTTTTTCCTTACTTTATGCTAAAAGGCACCTTCAGAGTGCTTTTTCTATTTATGCTAAAAGGCATCTTCAGAGAAGAGTGCTTGTTCTATCATTGCTTTCTCTTCTTCAACTTGAATGAAAGTTAGGTACTTCTGGCTTATTATATGCAAGACAAAATCATGTTAATAGAACTGTAAGAGCATCTGCAAAGGAGAATGTTGATTCACCTAGCAACCTTTGTGTATCACTAGTTCTTTTGTTTTGTTTGCAATCCTCAGTATATTTATTCATCATAATTATGGAACATAGTTTAACCTCTGACCTAAAATATTACTAGAAGATAGGGAGAAAGCAATTCGAGTTGCTTTCTGTTTTAGGAGAAAACCAAAAAACAACGACAACAACAGACCCGGTGTAATCCCACAAGTGGGGTCTGGAGAGAGTAATATGTACGCAAACCTTACCCCTACCTTCAAGAAGGCAAAGAGGTTATTTCCAAACCCTTAGCTAAAACCAAAAAACAACAACAACAACAAATGGAATATATTTTCTAGTCTTAAACATGAAAATAAATTGAAACTATCACAATCAATGGTTCAACGTTTGCAAGGGGTTGTGAAGAAGCTCACTTCTGTGCATTATGACAGAAGTGCAAAATGGATTGTAAGAACTACAGGCTTAGAAGTTTCAGAACCTAAATAATCAATTAGGAAAGAAACAGAATGGAGGTAATTGTTCATTAATTATGGAAGGAACTTCCCAAGTTTCTCTTATATACAAGCAAGAGTCAAAAGGCAACGATCCAGGATCGAATGGATAGAGAGTAAACCATGAACTACAGTAGCATGAAAAAATTCAGTTGCTTATCATAGAAATTCTTCTCAACCATCCACAGAAAAGAGAGCTTCTATACTGAATCAACTCCATCAACCTGTTGCCTCGCGAGATACCTTTCTCTTCTTTCTTTCTGAAACAGTAAAATCAATGACTATGTTAGAACAAAAGTCATGCTGATTATGCTTTTACGCAATCCAAACCATGAAACTGGATATTTGTCCGGGCAATTCTTTTGTAATGCAGATGACTAAAGAAGAACAAATAAATTTAAGTTCCATGTTTCATGTCCGCTATAATGCTTCTTGCCTTGTATTACAATGACAACAACTATTACTTAAGCCCCTTCCCTTTGTAATTGTTATTGAGGCTCAACTTATGTACTGGCACAATTTTTATGAGCTATCTCGAGGAAAAAAATAAAGGTTGTCTGCCCTTTATATAATTTTATGAGCATCAGAGAGCAACAAGTGAAGATTCTAAATGCAGTAGAATTTTTTTTTTTTCACAAGGAAATGCAGTTGATTTGTAATGTAAAACCTGAGCATTCAACATAGGAACGTAGTAGTGTCAACGCAACTTACCCATTCGTCTATAACAAGACCTTCCCCAACAATCTTTGGACCCGTATCTTCTGGAGGCCTTTTGCGTGCCTCGACTTCAGCCTCAGCTTCAGCTAGCTGGCGGTTAAGTTTCTCGAGTGCCTAAGGAAAATGAGCCACGAAATCCTTAGAGCCATTTCCACATAAACCTTTAGACAATTACATTACTAGAAACAGACTGCAGAAAAAATCTGATTCGACTAATTAGCAAAATTGGTGGAGAAAACCTACTTACAGGACAAGGGCGTTCAGCATCAAGGAAAACAACACCCAGTACTTGTTCAACTGCCACTTCATCCTTCCGTTCGTCAAACTGATTAAAATCAATGTTAGCATGAAATCAAGCATTTCGAGTGTCAACACTTCTTAAACGACTTAGGAAAGGGGTGCACAAAAGGAAATAGAAGTAAATTAAATTGAAAAAAGAAGAGGAAAACAACTTACAGACATCTATTTTAATTATTCTTCGCTTTTCTTTTCTTAGTAGTGCGAAGTCAATATTTGCTTGCATTATCACTTAGATTCAATTCGCCTATAGAATCCATAAAACAATAAAGAGGAAAGACTTTCATAGCCAAGACTCAGAAGTAGAAGATGTTGGACACGAAATGCCAAATTGATAATAATAGATGGATACGATCCATTATTCTTTTAACATGAATCGGTCCTTAAACATAATAAATCGAGCAATATCAATAATATTTAAAGGAATTTCATTTATGAACAGGGTTTTATGGAGAAGGAAGTGCTAGAAACCATTATTTGTCAAGTCCAGGGGACAATATGATTTACAAATAGTGAGAGTCACTACTTTCCTTTTTAATCTGTTCCAAAATAAATGACACATTTCTAAATTTGGAAATAATTTAATTTTAAACTCTCCATTTACCCATTTTACCCCTAACGAGAAGCTTTTATAATCACACAAAAATCATGGCCCCACAAAACTTTACCCCTTAAGCTTTTAAGACCACAAATTTCAAAAGTCTTTCTTTTTTTCCTTAAACTCCGTGCCGAGTCAAACTACCTCATTTAATTTGAAACGGAGGGAGTAGCTGTGAAATTGCTTGTTGTGAAGAGTAACAGACAAGTCCAGCAAAATATTCTGGTATTTTGAGAACGATTAAGAAAAGATATCTAGAAGAATGTCTAGCCCGCAGTAAAGCTTTTAACCATGATGGAGAAAATTGTGAAATGCAAAAGAACGTCAAGAATACTTGTGATTAGGGGTGTACAAAGGAAACCGACAAACCGCACCAACCCGATAATCCGAGTCAAACCGAGAAAAAAAACCCGACTATGGTTTGGTTTGGTGTTGGAAAAAGAAAACCCGACCATAATTGGTTTGGTTTGGTTTTAACTAAAGAAAGTCAAACCGAAACCAAGCAAACCCGACATTACATATATAGAAATTTTAGATATATTTAATATATAAATATACTTATTGTGATGTATTTATAAATATTTCTTAAACTTTTCATAATTTTATCTTCTAAGGTATTATTTCAAGGTTGGATTTAGAACTTTTGAATGTTCCAATAAGTTTTATAGCCATTAATATTAGTAACTTAAATAATGCTAACAAAAGCCAAAACCAAAATCAAATCAATATTAATGCTAACAAAAGACATTCAATTCAATACTACGAACGACAATGTATTGAATATCTATTTCTTATTTTGCAATAATTTAGATAAAAATGCATAACCTATTTTTATTTTTCTTTAGCGTTTAGTCATGTAATTAATACTCCCTTATTAGTCTACTTATTTTAGCATGACTTAGTACTTTTAGATTATGTTTATTTTTTGGCTTTCTAATTAGCAATATATATTAATATTACATAATTTTATGGTCTTTATTGTTGAATATTTTAGGATAATGCCATGACACATCTCAAATTTTGTATTATTTTCTTGGAAAATACCTGATATAGTTGTATCTTACTAGGAATAAAAAAAATATTTTTAGAAAAGTTGTATGTTTTGTGCTACGAAGATTTTACTGGAAAAAATCCGAAAAAACCCGAATAACCCGAAAACCCGAGAAAAACCGAGCTTGAAAAACCCGAGTTTTGTTGGTTTGGTTTGATCTTTAGATTTAATAACCCGACACAATTGGTTTGGTTTGATAATTGCAAAATCCGAACCAACCCGACCTATGTACACCCCTACTTGTGATTCCAGAATCAAAAGTAACAACAACAACAACTACCCAGTAAAATCCCACAAAGTGGGGTCTGGGGAGGGTAATGTGTACGCAGACCTTACCCCTACCCGAGAGGGCAGAGGCTGTTTCCGATAGACCCTCGGCTCAGAAAGACGGAAATAAAAAAAAAACAAGAAAAGACAATTCATTAGTAACTCCAGTAGAAACCGTAACAGTAACAGAAGCATAACAACCAAAAGATAAATGACATGCAATAACAGTAACCAGTATCTAAGGCCCGGAGCTAAGATAAACAGCAAGGATAGTGTGGACTCAACATAAACTGCAAGCCATCTAAGATCAACCCTAATCCAACCCCGCCTCACCCCGGGTATGAAGTAATGAAAGCTCTACTACCCCCTAACCTACAACCCTAATGCCTTACCTCCAGACCTTCCTATCAAGGGCCATGTCCTCGGGAAGCTGTAGTCGTACCATGTCCTGCCTGATCACCTCTCCCCAGTACTTCTTAGCCCTCCCTCTACCTCGTCTCGTACCCACCACGGCCAAACGCTCACACCTCCTCACCGGGGCATCAAGGCTTCTCCTCCGCACGTGCCCGAACCATCTGAGCCTAGCTTCCCGCATCTTGTCATCCACAGGGGCCACGCCCACCTTCTTCCGAATATCTTCATTCCTAATCTTGTTTATCCTAGTGTGCCCGCGCATCCACCTCAGCATCCTCATCTCTGCTACCTTCATCCTCTGGATATGGGAGTTCTTAACCGGCACACTCTGCCCCACACAATATGGCCGGTCTAACCACAACTCTATAAAACTTACCTTTGAGTATCGGTGGCACTTTCTTGTCACATAAGACTCCAGATGCAAGCCTCCATTTCATTCAGCTCGCCCCTATACGGTGAGTGACGTCCTCGTCGATCTCTCCGCCCCCTTGAATCATCGAACCAAAGGTACTTGAAGCTATCCCTCTTGGGGATGACCTGTGATTCAAGTCTCACGTCCCTGCCTACTTCCCTCAACTCAGCGCTAAACTTGCACTCCAGGTGCTGTCTTAGACCTGCTCAATTTGAAACCCTTAGACTCGAGGGTCTGTCTCCAAACCTCCAACCTTTCGTTAACACCGACCTTCGTCTCATCAATTAGAACTATGTCATCAGCAAATAACATACACCATGGCACATCCCCTTGAATATGATGTGTCAGTGCATCCATCACCAAGAGAGCCTTGGTGTAATCCCATAACAAGAGTTAAATGTTTCAAATACACTAGAAAGAAGTATAAACTACCGGCAACAAGAGTTGATTTCCCTTTTAAGGATCGGTTATTTTTCACATTATTTCTTCTAACTGGCCGAGGGTCTATTAGAAACAGGCTCTCTACCTCTACAAGGTAGGGGTAAGGTCTGTGTACACACTACCCTCCCAAACCATACTAGGTGGGATTACACTGGGTATGTTGTTGTATTTCTTCTAACTGGAAATTGCCAGCGCCTATGATTAGGATGTAAAACTTGTGGCAAAGATTGCAGAACAAGAAGAAATTAAAATAAATTGTTGGAGATGGAATTTCACATTTGACACAACTTGGTGTGATGCTCTATAGATTTGTTGGACAAAGACATTCACATACAACTTAATATTAGTGCTCTCATCTCTATCTGGAGGATATCTATCCACTGCTGCAAACATGGCACATTTTGAATCCATAGCAACATCTGTTGATACGGATCATATGATCAAGTGATTAAACTAATTAGTACCCTACTGAGTTGATTTCTGAAGCTGATCTAAAGAGGACATATATCATGTGAACATGAAGGTGACCAGGGCAAATCCTCCCTACCTCGCAATGACAGTTTTTAAAAGAGCAGAAACAGCATTCAGGAATGAAGACAGTGCCAGGACCAATTCAGTCTTTTCTACATATATTTTCTAAAATAAGAAGGAAAATATATTTCTTTTGGGATCAGAGTTCATATCATGGTAGGCAAATGCCCTAAACCTTGAGTATAATTCTCTTCATTAGTGGTGGATGGTTTACTAATATATATTGCATGGTAATACTGGTGCAAAAACTGTAGCTATAGCATTATTACAACCTTCAAAAGAAAAGGAAAAGAAACAAGAAAGGACACATGATAAATGGCGGCACCTCAAAAAGAGGAGTAGCAGGAGGAAACCATGATCAATGATTTGATCTTATTCTAAGCAAACTTTAAAGGAAACTAATCACGGCGTAAGAAGAAGCATGCCACTTCTAGTATGACCCGGAAAAAGTTTTCTTATTCATTTCCATTTCAAAGAAAAGAGGATGATCCTGAAAAAGCTTTGATCTCAAGGTCTTAGGGATTTAAGGCCTCAAGACCCAATATGTTTCTTATTCTAAATATGGTTTCATTTGATTCAAAACTTCCATCTGCATGTGGTTGATTTCTCTTCCTTTTTTCTTCTTTTTTAGGGATAATATGTCAATTTTCTAGAATATTCACTTTTCTGTACCAATTACAGCCTAAGAACTCGAGAAGAATAATTATAACTGCAGATAGCTACTCCTAAAGAGCTCAATGAATTACTGGGAAGAATGAAATAAAGTTTTCAAAGGCCAAGATTGATTTTGAGATCATTTAGCACTTACCAGCTCTGGCACATAATCCACGTCCTCTTTTACTTTTAAGCTCATGACTTTGAACTTGACCCTGCTCTTCTTTCCAACTTGTTTCTCGTTATTATCAGGTGGCTCAACGAATTTGAAAACTGTTAATTAGGTGATATATTAGCACAATAAAACAGCAATAAGCAACTATTTTCATTAACATCATACAGAAGGACAAAAAAGGCCAAGAGTAGATGTTACCAGTTGCAATAAGGCTTTCATCAGGAGCAAGAGTACCTCCTGGCGGCCGCATATAACAACTTTTCGGCCCAGTTGTTTGAAACTAAGATACAATGAAGTTAAATTAGAAAATATGTGTGAATAGCAATAGTAAGCTGATAACGATTACAAAAAGATTTCTTCGTAAAAAAGGAGTATGCATGTCAGTTATTTGTGTAACCAAAAGAAGGAGCAAATGTCTGTAATTAAGCATCTATCTTATATTAATTAATTCAAATACAATTAGTATTGTTTAATCACATCCAAATAATACACAGAACGATGCTTGTTAAAGTCAACTTTATTTTTAACTCACACATGATTATTGGCCAAAAAATTGCTTTGGTCTGATTATGAACGACATGCAGAAGATGCATGCCAAGAAATAGTATAACTTGCAAAGGAAAAATATGACAAATTCTCTCTTTGAAAGATCCAATTTCACCTTCCATAGTGATAAGTTACCCACTAACCAGAATTCATCATCATTTTAGTATTCAATAGCCAGAATTTCTATTATATTAACAAAAGAGGCCAATCTTTAAGCAGATTGTCTTTAAAGCATAAGTACTATCCTCATCCAACTCAGGAAAGTTGGCCTAGTGGGGAACTAAAGTGATTTGTTGCACTAAATACTAATTATGGAGATCGCAAATTGACATAATAAATATTAGGTACTAAGCACATTTCACATCAGATTAATAAAGTAGCAACTGTTAGAACCACTAAAACAAGAAAATAACAGGAAAATGAGGCTAGTGTAGTGTACCTTGAAGGCTACAGGATTCTTGCTAATGTTCTTAATTCTAATAGCACTCTTGACTTGTTTGCCAGGCTCATCTTCAAAAGGGATAAGAAAAGAATAAGCATAATCCAATAGATACAGAAATGAACAAAATAAATAGATAAATATAGAAAGACAGTCCTTAAGGCATAAAAGTTATTTTTTTTTTTTTTGGTAAATAAGGCATAAGAGTTGTTACTTCAACTGAATAGTCAAGTTTCATCCAAAACATAGTATAAAACAGAAATAGATATACTCCCTTTGTCCCATTTTAGTGACACGCTTTCCTTTTTGTTTGTCTTGAAACGAATGACATATTTCTCTATTTAGAAATACCGTAGATTTAAACTTCTCATATTATCCTTTATGAAATGATTTATAGCCACAAAAATGTATAACGCATGTATTAGACCAGAAGTTTCAAAAGTCTTTTTTTTTCTTTTCCGCGCCGAGTGAAGCACATAGGGCAGAGCTAGTCTTTAACATATGGGTTTGGCAGAACCCAATAGCTTTGGCTTAAACCCTGCATATATAGTTAAGAAATCCACCAAATATGTAGAAAAATTAAATTTAGAACTCAGTTACTAACACTTAAATCACTATTCAGAACCCATAAAGTTCAAATCCTGGCTCCACCTCTAGAAACTCCGTCACATAAATATTGGGTGTGCGAACAAAGTCCCACATTGGTAGCTGAAAAGATTGGGAGTCTACATATAAGGTGTAGGGATCTCTTAATGGTGTGAGGCCTTTTGGGAAAAACCGTGCGGGCTTGGCCCAAAGCGGACAATATCACACCATGTTAAGAGTGTCATTGGGCCGTTTTAGCCCAACAACTGGTATCAGAGCCCAGGTTCAGCGGAACGAGTATGGAGATGGCGGAGTGATGGTGCAGGGCGGTGCACACACAAGAAGAAGCTAGTTGCGGGCTTCGGTTGCCATAATACTCTAACAATGTGGGTGGCACACAGTGAATCTCGAAAATTGACCCGTGGATCGTGGTAGTGGGCCACGTGGAACTTAGTTCGAGGGGGAGATTGTTGGGTGTGCGAACAAAGTCCCACATTGGTAGCTGAAAAGATTGGGAGTCTACATATAAGGTGTAGGGATCTCTTAATGGTGTGAGGCCTTTTGGGAAAAACCGTGCGGGCTTGACCCAAAGCGGACAATATCACACCATGGTGAATATTATGGTCCCTTTGATAACTATTGCAAGGAACAAGGAATTCGTCATCAGAAAACTCCGCCCAAGACGCCTCAATTGAACGGTTTGGCAGAGAGGATGAATAGAACTCTAGTTGAGAGAGTTAGATGCTTACTTTCAGAGGCTAAACTTCCAAATACATTTTGGGCGGAAGCACTTAACACTGTTGCCTATGTTATCAATTTGTCTCCTGCTGTTGCTTTGGATGGTGATGTCCCAGACAGAGTTTGGTTTGCCAAAGATGTTTCTTATGATCACCTCAGAGTTTTTAGGTGTAAAGCTTGTATGCATATTCCTAAAGATGAGAGATCGAAACTGGATGTCAAAACTAAGCAGTGCATCTTTATCGGTTATGGTCAAGATGAGTTTGGGTATCGTTTTTATGATCCAATTGATAATAAACTTATTAGAAGTCGTGATGTAATATTCTTTGAAGACCAAACTATTGAAGATATTGACAAAGCTGAGAAGATAGATTCTCAGAGTAATAAGAGCTTAGTTGATATTGATCCAGTTTCAATTTCTAAGGCACCTATTGCACATGAAGGAACCCAAGACAATGATGGAGATAGTGATCAAGATCAAAATGATCATCATGGTGTAGATGTTATGGATGCTCCAGTTGATGAAGTTGTGGTTGATCAGCAACCAATTCCTGCACAGATACACTACGAATACTCCTGAAACCTCTCTTAGAAGATCTACAAGGGAGAAGCAAAAATCCATGCGCTATCCTCCTGATGAGTATGTACTTTTGACTGACATGGGAGAACCTGAGAATTATGATGAAGCCATGCAAGATAATCACAAGATCATTGGATCGAAGCGATGGAAGATGAGATGAAGTCACTCCATGAGAATGGCACATATGAGTTAGTGAAATTGC